TCAATCGATCCTGTACTTATGTCATTGACCTGGGATGCCCTGAACGGGGTCGATCATCAACATTTTGGGTTTGTTGGTACCTGGCCATAGTCTGCTAATCACAGACCGTGAAACATTGAAGCTGATGGCCACTACACGCTGACTTCTGCCAGGTTCCAACTAGCCAATAGGCCAAAGACGCTGTATCGCTAGTTCATACACAAACAATGAATGAAATCAAATAATGGTCCATTGAGACCTTACCACATGGTAAGTGTGGTAGCAATTCCCATGGCATTGGGTCCTGCTTTCGTGGGAATCGGGTCCAACAGACCCCATACAAGCCCAACCGATCATTCCTGGACAGCAAACCAGTCACCAAGAAAGTTAAATTCAATGGCCCATTCCCCCGTAGGAGTCAAAGGAATGGTTATACCAAAGAGCTAAGGTCAATTCAAAAGATGCAAATTAGTTGTTAGTAGGTTTTAGACACCTTCTACGAAACTTGCAATCAGCCAACCAGCTACACCATGTGGATGAACCTAACAAAAGCTACAAAAAGATTTTGATGTGGGGCCCCTTTCAGGATATCCCACTGGACAACCTCCAAGTATCTCAAAAAGCCTGGTGCCAAAGAAACATCCAGGCCACTTTTAACATAAAGGTAAGTATGGTGATGATCTCCATCTTATTCATTCATTTATCTTTTCCAAGGGCAAATCTGTTAACGACAATATATACCTGCTCAGTTTTGTATGACAGATTTGATGAAGCTATTCATATGGTTCAACAACTGCGAAAGTGGCATTACTAGTAAAATTCAACTTTAAGTTGCCCTTTAGAATTTTAACTGTTCATCCTTTCCACTTGGAGCTACTAGGCATTTGAAGGGTTCTATTTGATAAATGCTTATTATTCGGCTGCTCCATATCTTGTGCCATATTTGAAACATTTAGAACCTTCATACAATGGTGCATGCAATCCCACCTCCCAACGTGCCAGATTTTGCATTACCTGGACCACTTCCTAACGAAGGGTCACGTTGGGCACTAACCAGTGCGTAGACAACCTCAATGGGTGTGTAGATACATTGGAACACTTTGTGGTCCCTATTGCACACAACAAGACCTGCCTCATTACGCAACTGACTTTCTTCGGGTTGGAGATGAACACCAACCATATGCATATCAGAATCACAGAGTCCAAGATCAAGGAGGTGACAGCACAAATCCAAGACATCCTGTCAACAGGTAACGCAAAAGTGACTAAAAGGGCCATTCAGTCCCTCATAGGCAAGCTTAATGCTATGTGCACAGCGATACCAATGGCAAGCGATTTCAGGCGTAGGCTAATCGACCTGCTAAGCAAAGGTAAGCAACCATTTCACCACATTAGGATTTCCACCTGTGTCCAGGAATATCCAATTTTGGGGCAAGTAACCCACTAAGAAAAAGGTCCTCTTCTACTGCAAAAATCAAGACGTGTTTGCAATCATCAACAAAGCGTCTACCAAGCCCCCCAGAGTGATGAGTCTACTCAGCCACTAAATCTAGCAGCACCTCCGGTATAATATTCTGCTTACATCAAATTATGTTTGTACCACTGCTAACACTATTGCAAATGATCTCCTGAGGTTGCAGCTCTAACGCTTCCGGTTGGCAGCAACAGACGTGCATCAGAATCCCATACCTAACCCGTGCAATGCATGGCTGATCTGAGGCCAAAAGCTGGTATACTCCAACCACAATTTCTTTCTGTGAACACATGATCCACACACCAAACATGTATCAATGCCTTACAACAGTTCCTGTCCACAAATCATCTACAGGGTGTCTGGCCTGTTCCCCTGGATAGAATGTAAACTTTATTGATTATCTGTAAGTCACACACCATTCCCCTAAGTCAAGACTATCATTTCAGTGCTGTCCTCACAACACAAATTCCGTGAGCTCACTAATTGTACAAATCATTTCCTGGTTGGTGAGCTATTAACAGACTTACACAAATAGGCGGGCCGACCAGAGAGCGAAAACCTCTTGGTCTGCATCAGGTAGTAACCAACAATCTGCCAAACGTATGATCGTCTGCATATAAAGCCACACTGTTCAAGGAAGTCTACTGTACAGCCTTCTTTGGTTTCTTTGGGGTAAGCGAACCAGGCTGCTCCATTCACGTTGTAAGTTTCTCTGGAAAACCCCAACAGCTATAAATCCGTCTCCCATGCTCAAAGCATGAACAGTACAACACAGGGGTAACAGTTACAATATCACCTACACCAGTTAATCCATGATGTCCATAGTCGCCATCAAGCACTATCTTGGTCCCCTCTGGTCTGCAACAGGCTCGGTTTTCTTCTAGTACACACCGTATATAATCACCCGCCCCTCTCCTCCTTCCACATTTCACCCTGCATTTGTGCATTTCATTTTCAATTTTAATTTTTTTTTCTTCAGTGAGCGTTTATTTCAGGTACCATCAGAGCAGCTTCTACATATGTCATTAAAATGGTTTCACCAATGCTAGTATATATGTGAATGAATATGTCTTAATGATGTTTATATATACATATGTGAAGGCCTGTCTAAAAAATGAACAATGTCCAGGTGTGCGTGGTTCTTGTAGGCTACCCTGCTGGTACCAAAGTTACTTGCTTCCAAATTACTACTAAGGCTACCTGTTTTGGGGTTCAGCCTTTCTGGGGTTACCTGCTTGTTTTGAAATTTAGGTAAAGAAATATAATATTTTTAGATGTTGATTTGCAGCATATGTTGAAAACAAAAGTGAGTAGAATGAACAAAAGTGTTAATTGTTATAACAGGGACTAAAATTATATACAGGGAATATATGTATTAATATTAATATTAATCATATAAAAACAAAGAAGGTCGCAAAGGTTGAAATATATTATGGACATTGAAAAGGACCCGGGGTAGAATTGTTGCATCCCCGTGTTGGAGGACGGCTCAGGGCACAGCTATAGTGTTCCTGTCCCTAATAGCTACTTCGACCCCTCCTGTACCCATAATGGTTGAAGGATGACCCTATGCACGTGGGTTTTTGACTAAAGTGGTTAACGTCTAAATAATACATCATTTCGGGCTTTCCTCCCGTATTAGGCTGACATGCCGGGATATAACTTTAATTCTGTTACAATTAGAAATAAACCCATCTCGTTCACTCCACCACTTGTCATATCAAATACTTATTAAAATCTTTCTGTTAATACCGAGTATAAAATAACACCATAGCCTCCCTGGCACCTACACTATTTCATTCGTAGTAATGGTGTCTTTAGTTGATGTATACAGTCATACAAGGTTAGCAGAAAAATATTAGGCCCATTCCATTTTTATGCTTACACCTTATACGTCAACTAAAGACACCATAACGAATTTTGTGTTTTCACTATCCGGCTGACTTTAAGGTTCAAAGAGAGACTACTGTTCATTCCTTAGAGGCCAGTCTTGTTGAACTTTTTAACTATAATCTTTATCAACAAAGTCACGGACATGATTTAAAAAAAAGAAGTCTTGCCCAGGAGAAATTTATGATATGAAAAATACAAACAGTGTCGAATAAGGAATTTCTGTACCAGAATTTCCATGTGAAATATGGAGGTGGGTGTTGCAAAATCCAAGATGGCTGTTACTGACGGTATATGGTCTCATATTAGGTCAGTAACAACCATCTTGGAATTTTACTGACCATACATGGGCTCATATGGGGTTAGTAGTTCTGCTCTCTGATTTGTCAATCTCACCGTGAGGCAAAATATAACCTGATGCAACTTGAAACTAAACCAATGTTTATATAAACAGGCATTTCATGAATTAAGGACCAATATCCCCCTGATACCCTCTTTTGAGTCATCTGTATAAAAACTGGTATCAGCTGCAGCTGTCACTAAAAGTTATACTGTATCCATACGACTAATTAACTCATGGTAGCTCGATATAAACGACAGACTCAACCTCTACTATTATCTTCGCAATATGGTGAAAAGCACTTTTATCATACATTCGATAGTCTATCCGCCTTTCAGGCTATCAACAATCGTAAATTGGAGCATCCATTTTTCGCAGAAATTTAAGGTGCCATATCAGTTTATCCTAAGTGTGAAAAAGATATAGATTTGGTGGCTGCCCGCTTAGGCAGTATGGGAATAAACATTGGCAACAAAGTTTGAATACACAGGTTTTTAGTAAGCTGTATACCATCAAGCCACTACTATCTGTGAATTAACTAATTGAATTGTTAGTTAAATACTAGCTGGCAATGACGAAACTTGTATTTGCCCCCATCATATCCCTTGATGACAGAACAATTTCACGACAAACGTGTGTCGCCAGCAGGATTTGAAACTGTGAAGTCCGCACAGAAGTCACAGAAGCCACGCCGACATGAACGAAATGCTATTAAATTAACAACTAAATATTTACTTTCATAAGGACAAATAGTTTATCCGTTTATGAGCCGTGAAATATGAGTTTTACATGCAGTACGTTTATAATGTTACTGAATGCATTGTACGTAGGAGTGATTTAGTAGCATTTCGTTTAAAGAAACGAACAGATAGAAAACAAATTACTCTTATCGCGATCAGGACTATTTACTTGACCCAGGAACATGGCAACTTAATTTTCAACTGATGGATACAAATGCTCAAGTTGGTCCTATATGAATTGAGTACTTTGCCTGGAACATGCATTTCACAACATAACATAAACAAAACCTGTGCTAATCAATCAGTTCAATTTTTTTATTCAAATCGAAAACCCACTCATAACATTGGACTCAACCAATGACGAATCATTTTCTATCTTTGCTGACACCGTATGTTCAGTTTTATTTTGGAATGGGACAACGGCGAACTGCTTTAATTTAATCCCGCCAAATTTAAAATTTGAAACTTAATTCTGCACACTTGATTTCAAGTTCCTTGAAGCGCGGTTAAATCCTCATTTAGCCCAGCTCTACATTGGAAACACAGAATGTTTATCCAACCAAATGTTTCTCCATACCTGGAATGCTGTGACCGGTCCCTCATGCGCCACTTCTTTCACAAGTTTACACCCATCGTCCTCGAAACACCGGATTGAGTCATCTCCACTGGCTGTGATTACTACAATAACATATATGAATATTTTAGCAATACGGCACATAAATTATGGACTATTTGACTTATAATGTTCATGTAGTTCTTTATCTTTATTTATAAAGTAGTGGAGGCCATAGGCCCATTCCACAGTTGCTTGAGAGAGTAACAGCATATATACATTGGTACATTGATATACATTGTTCATCCAAATGATTGTCTTAGTTGCATTGATTTATATACAAACGTTGCAAGAATTTTAACTGTTTCTGGATTGTTTGAAGACATTAGTTAGTTAAATTTATGTAATGTTGGATATAAGTAGTATTTGGGAGGTACATGCAAACTCCTGAGAGTGCTTGCATGCCCACCCTGTTTGTAGGTTGATTTCAGTCTATATACAAACTCAGATATTAATCTAGATACATTATGTATATGTTCATGTTGCCAGGCATATTTGAAACCAAACCTGTATGAAATATCTTTAATTTGTAAGCCCAGTTAGTCTTTCCATCCACACAATCTTGTGACAGTTATGTGAATATTCATGTATATTAAATTAATGTTTCTTATCTTCAATATAAAAGTATATCGCGAAACTGGAAAGGTGTTGCCTCATGAAGCATTTTAACTTTACAACCGGTGACAGTTGACATAACACATTCCCAGTGCTGTACGACTTTGAAACAGAAGGTTATACGACTCAATAACAAAAATAAATCATTTCGAGTTTGGGAAACACATGACCAATGCAGTGCAACTTAAAAATAGCAAGTCCTGTGCTTCTTTAGATGTTAATAACAAAGTCATATGCACTACCAGTTTAATTACATACCTTCTGCCCGATGCAGTACAACTTTGAATCAGAAAAGCCTATGCTCAAAGTGCCTCGGGACTGGGAAAAAACGTAAGCCTGATGCAAGATAACTTTAAAGAAAACGTCTGTCGATACCTTAATGACAAAATTATTTGCACGTCCGGTCAAACAGAATCACTTGAAGTTTTGGACAATACCACATGCCAAATACAGAAGAGCTTTGGAACAGAAATTCCTCTGCCTGAAGCAATCTAACACAGTTATCAATATCAGTCAGAACCTACCTTGATATGTTTATTATCAGATTCCATTTATCAGTGCTCAAAATATTGTCCATACAAGATTTTGGGACGTCATCTTCACTTACACAGACATCCGATCACATGTGTAAACGTATTAACACCACTTCCTGAATGTAACTATTTACAGGTGATTTCTTGCGGGAATTGCATTCAAATCGACACTGATATTTGAACAATCATGACACATGACAGACGTTCATTTTGACGGACTATAAACAAACTTAGATCTTTCATGAAATATGAAATGTCCTGAAAATGTGACTATGGTTCATAAATTTGACCTCTCGTGACCTTGACCTGATGTGAGGTGGCGTAACTCCAATCCGAGCAAACACACTAAGCACTCTCTCAAACGATGAAACACCCTTTATGAGATTTTTACAATAAGAAGTCATCTGATATCCATTTCTTGAAATAAATATTAAACATTGCTGTTAATTTCTAATTTTGAAATAGGAAATATATATCGTCTGTACGCTTTTGTTTTCTTCGTGGCAACTGATCAGTTGAGTATCGGATGTCCTACTGTCAGTCCTCTATTTCCAGATGAACCAAGCTGGGTGACACAGTTGCTGCTGAATTTCCTGAGGATCCCCACTTTAAAAGGCCAAACGTCAAATTGTGTGCATCTGTTGAATTTGATTGTTGGTTTGTTGTTTAACGCCGCACTCAGCAATATTCCAGCTATATGACGTCGGTCTGTAAATAATCGAGTCTGGACCAGACAATCCAGTGCTTGACATCACGAGCATCGATCTTCCCAATTGGGATACGATAACATGCACCAATTAAGTCAGCGAGTCTGACCACCCGATCCCGTTACTCGCCTCTTACGAATTCTAACCCGTAGTCTTCAGGGGACACATCTGTTGAAATAGCAAACGACAATATTGCGTGAAGGCATTTTTAATTATCAGAGACATGATAATATATCTTAGCTGCTGCAGCTAGTTTTTCAATTGCTACTTTACACTTTCAATATCCTTGCGGTCCATAGTAAATTCTATCCTTACGAATATTTCCATCTAGAATAAATGTTCACATAACTGTATTAAAATGAACAATTACAAACCAACAAAAGAAGAACTTGAAAAGCTAACTAAGTATTTATGCTCCAAGATGAAATTATCAAATGACGAGAATTACCACAAGGCGTATCTCTTATCATGGATGTCAACAAATCCAAATATAGTAATCAATTGTTTCTTTCCAATTGCCGAGAAGAGTTTCCACAACACATGACGATCATCGGATCGTCATCACATAATTCACATACATTTAAGACCCCCACAGAAGCACTGTTAGGACCTGGGCCTCGTCCAGGGGGAGTGGCTACAGGACAATCAGACTTTGAAATTAAATGTTCATTCATACAAAGACTGTCCCAAATCGGTCGCTATGACACTTGTAATGGAGATGACTACTGGTAGTTCATATATTCCACCAGAGGATTCACCATATTACGAAACATTTTCAAAATCCCATGTAAGTTATCAGTAGATTGCGACAATAATATTTTTATCATTGGTGACCTCAATGCTAGGACACGTACCACGTCCGATTTCATATCAACGAAGATATATTCCCTAATGATTTGGTTGATTATATGAATGACTAAAATATGGTAATACATTGTCGGAAAGTCAAGTCAGGTTTTGGGGAATCAAATCTCACATGGTTATAAGCTAGTTGATTTATGTAAAAACAATAATAAATACATTGTCAATGACCGAGTTGGACATGACAAAGGAGTTGGCAAAGTTACATGTGAAGGAGTTAGCTTGGTTGACTATGCTGATTGACTATGTTGACCATGATTACACCCGGCTGTGGAAAATAAAACAAAACCAAAAAACTTTCGAAGAAATTTAGAATCATATTCCGAATCGTGGAGTACTTAAAAGAGAAACGATCCTCCATGATTCCATAGTGGTTTACAAAAACTTTTTCGGCAAAGAAACCGACAACATACAATTGCTAAGCAAAGAAATATACCTTTTCTTTTGGCGAAATTGCGCCAGTTAAGAATTAAAGTGATTGCCCCTGTTCGTCTGGTTAAAGAGCTTTATATACAAAACAAACCCAACTCCTGGGATGAAACTGTGGTGTCAACTTGTTAAATATCATCTAAAGAAAAAAAATCAAAATATAACGTTTCCTACAATTCTGTACCAAGGTAAAACATTCGGTGATAATGAAAGCATTGCAAACGTTTTTACTGTTTTTCTCGCAACAATCTACTGTAAAATAATTCAATAATAATTCAAGTTTCAAATATAACAACACATTGTATATTATTACCCTGAGTTATGAAGAGTACAGGACATCTTACATTCAGTCAATACCAAGGCGTTTGGACCTGCTGGTATAAGTAACATGGTCATCAAAGATTCATGTATCAACTTCGTATGGTTGACCCATCTGTGTTTTTCAAAAGTATATCAAAACCCATAACTACATGTTTTGACATGTCATTACAGTCCCCCACAACCTGGAAGGAAGATTTTGTAATGTTCTAATTACGAGATCTATTGCATACACAAGCTGCTCAGCCAAAGTACTAGAACAATAAGTATTTAAATATGTATTCAACTTATTTTTTGAGATAGTGCCATTCTAATTAATCTCCATTTTTTTCCCTTGTGATTCAACCACTTACCAAGTGGTCTATTTGTATGCATTTATTCTAGAAGCCGTTGATGATGACGAGGAAGATAGGGCAGTCTTTTGTGATCATTAAGTAAAGCTTTTGATAAGGTTTGGCACCGTAGATTAGTAAACAAACAAGAGATTTATGGTATTAAAGGAACATGATTAAAATGGTTTGAAAGTTATAATCGGTTGTAAATCCAAATTAAACTTTGTACTGAGCGGAGTGCGACACGGGTCTGTACTTGGCCCGTTGATGTACATCAATGATTTGGATTAAACTGTTTTGGAAATTCATAATACTACCTCTCCAGGAAAAGTCTGGAAATTGTGTACAAATCATTCATCTTACCAATATTTGATTACTGCAGTATACTTAAGAATAATTGTACTAAAGACTAAGAATTGATACTGGAAAGATTAAATCTGGATGCTCTAAGAACCACATGTGGCGCAACACGTGGCATAAACCATACGCAATGTATACAGAAACAAATCTGAAACCATTATCTCTATGGCGCAAAAATCAAACTTTATCTTTATTCTAAATAATGACAAAAAGAGATTACAGTCTTAGAAACTCATCAGACTTTCAAGCACTCAGATGTAAGACTGAACAAATGCAAAATCCTTTATACTTAATTCCACAAAATTATGAATTAATCTATCTGACGATAAACGGACATTAATTCGATAGATCTATAACTGAAAGCCCAAGTTGTCCTTGCCGTTACTACTCTGAAGACCCGCAACACTACTTCTCTGTTTGTCGCAATTATCAAATTAGAAACAATTTATTTTATCATATAACAGAATATGACATTAATACAGTATTCTACAGACGTGAAGGCCTACCACCTGAAGTAAATCAAGAAATTGTTTTATCCGTCCATACTTTCATCACACATTCTGGTAGATTTAAACTTGATTTATACTCTAAACAATTAATATCACATACAATCCAGTCATTCTATCAACACTGAACACTATGAATATGCTTGATAAACAACCTTTAAGGCATATCTTGTGTAATTATGATGAATACACCTTAACTTTCTTTGGTTACTTGATTTGTATAAGGAGAGAGGTATTAAAATAAGCGTTGCCTTGTTTAGCGATCCAAATTTTCAGTCGAAATAACAATATGTTTAACCTTATTAATTCAACTTTTAAAAGTGTGGAATATCATCTCAACCAATATCTTTTCATATTAAGATGTAAACCATTAGTCTGAATTGATTTTTCATTCACTAAAAATATATCTGTGTAAATCCTTTAAAGTATTGAAATATTTTCTACGTCCTGACAAACTGTCTTAGCTCATTAAATACAATACCCTCTTCTCACTGAAATGTTTCATTCTTCATAATATCCGCAACACATCTTTAACATAAACAATACTTTAATCTTCATACTGACCCCGTACCCAGAGCATACATAGTTTTGTTTAATATTCCTTTTCTCTATTGCCAAAGAATGTATGCCACACTGATCACGTTTACAGTTTTTACCACATTATTACCCAATTACACTGGTTCTTCTCAATCATTGTATACACGTATACACGTAACTAATTGTTTGTTTAAATGGTTTTGCATACATTCTCCTATTTAACTTGCTTTATCTGATTTATATCAGTTAATAACATGTCACCCTCCTTTAGTGAACAAACATTTGGAGCCTTTACCTTTTTATCATTTGCCATATTCCAAATCTAAGACAAAGGTGTTGGTGAATTTATTTTAGAAACATAGTTTTGCCAATACGTCGATTACGTCGAGCTTTTGCATTTAACATTATAAATTTAAGTTATAGGCAGTTGAGTGGTAGCAGACATATTTTTCTGCCTCTTCCCTAGCTTTATAATTTTCTAGCTAGTTTGCGCTCAGTGTTTTACATGTTGATTTGAAGGGGACTTCGGTATATATTTATAAAAGATTTAATTCGTCTGGAAAAACTGAATAGGATCAGCAACATTACTGAGACATTCGGATTAAAATTTACGCGTGCAAAGGTTTGAAATAAAGACCAGTTTGCCTTTGTAAAATCCCAACTTGTTGAAGGTTGAATATCAGACGCATTTACTGTTGAAAGATGGGAAATGGCCACTTCCATAAAGATCATTGTGGACTGATCATTCAAATTCGTTAAGAAGACCGTTAGAGAGATCTCTAACAACTAATAATTGCCAGTTGCATGTTTTAGATTGAATTTAATCTCAACAGGTGACTGTTGGAGATGTAATGCTCAAGTATTCTTCTTTGTGAAACGGTGTTTGTAGCAGCCCAGAGTAGACTGTGGCAATTCATAACCCCCTTGATTACACCGGGCTTCTGAAGGTGATTGCATATTGCTTGAATATAAGACTGTTGTGAAAAATAGACCTGAAGACCAAAACAAATACAAATCATATCATTAAACTTGTGCAACTTTGTTTTGATGAAGAGGGCTTGCGATGACCAGCTGATTGATAGGACCGAGCCCATCCCACCACCAGTCCAAGTGACGTAGGGGTCGAAAGGGGGTATTGGGCACAGGAAACCTATTTCTGGAACCTATGCCATGAACCAGCGACCCACGGCAAACAGGTTGCGCAATTTGGCCGTCTCTTACGACCAGCAATGGGGTGCTGCGTACACATTCTACCGCAAGGCCTAAACACTTTCTGAATAGCTTATGGACAAAATTATATGAGTGGACCATCGAAAATCAATGATGTGCCTAAAGAGTAAGTAATTGACATTCCTTAGCTGTACCAGTCTCTGCTGCTATTGAGTTCCTGTTATATAACTGAAATACTTTTTGCCGTGGGTTCCAGTTTCAGACTGACTGATCAATTGCTAACACAAATGCGGCAATGAATATATCCACTTTTCTGAACTGACAACCATTGCATGAGCTCAAATAAGAAAATGTTTCAAGGGGAAATAGTCATGATAGCCATGATATTTGATTTTCTGTACTCACCGAACTTTTCGTCACCGTATCGGATGACCTTAAGAGAACTTAAAGATCTCGTTGTTTCACCATCGTATCTGCCTATTTCACGACCTTTGTGGACACTCCATTTTCGTGTCGTGCAGTCCGCACTTCCCGTGTACAACGTTGAACCCACGACCTGCATTTGATCCGCAGAATTAGTAACATTTTACAACAGGTTTATTTTCTTCTGATTTGTTTTGTATCACCAGTGAAGACAACCATACACGCCCATGTCAACAACATTGTAATACAATGAACACAGTGATTGAGTGAATGAGTTCAAATTTAAAGTCACATCGGCAGTATTAGAACATTTTACACATTATCGATAATTAAAGCCTGTCAACGATGGAAAGTAATACATATTTACGAATGGAAAAAGAAGAGATGTTCATTAGGTTTTTGAAACCCAAACTTTATTCAAAAGTATAATTTTCAAAAAAATTCATTGTAACTCAACGTGTATTTGTGCATTCACACTATAATGTATTCATGCCTCCCACTTTTACCACTAGCTATGACGTAATATGCTTTATGACGTCAAAAGCAGAACGCTGGCTGTCGCCAAGGGCTTACATTTCACTTCTCCCTCTACTGTCACTGTTACGTCATAGGCATTTTGACGCCACAAATACTACTGTTGTGCGTCGCCTAGGACTACAATGTAACTTAAAGTTTTCATTAACTGGACTCGTCTCAGAATTACACAATAAAAGATGCGAAAACAGCTCTTTTGGTATAGAATTATCAGAATAATCGTATAAGGTTGAACCAACGGGGTAGTAGTTGTGGACGGTACTACAGGACCACTTTGGGTGGAGGGGGAGGAGGAGGAGGGAGGAGGAGGTGTCGGGTTCTTTATTTTGGTGTTTTTCTCTGGGGTGTGCATGGCGATTCCCATCCTAAAAAAAAAAGACAACACAACACTTATTTTTGTTGTTCAACTTTTTAATCCCCCCCTCACATGAACCAACACAACAAAACAAAAGCCACAGGATTAGGGGCGTCCCTGTGATTTTGGTGAACATGAACGTATGTACACGTATGTGAACGTATGTACGCTCCTAAAATGCAGTGAACAGGATCTTTTGCCACTTTGATAGTGAACGTATGTACATTCCTAAAACGCAGTGAACGTATGTGTCAGGTCAATAAGGGCAGAAAGGTTGGTTCTTTTGATGTAGGGCATGCGTCTGGGCACTCAGTCGAAAGGCAGGCATCTGATCCACAGGAACGGGGATAGACACTTTGGTATGAAACCATGCTAATACCGTCCAGTCCAACGTATCTAACACTTGATTAAAAGTCCACCCACGCACGCGATAGGTCAGCATGTTGATCTCGATACTAGATGATAATACAACCTTTCCTTGATCTCGATACTAGATAATAATACGGACCACCCCAACAGTCCGGGACGTCAACTCCGCGTTGTATAGCTTGTTGTAATGCTGCAATAGCCTCAGACTTGTTCTTAAACCAATGTGGGCTCTGCGATAGGATTGTCTCCGATTCACCCCGTGGGTAGGCCACTATTGTCCACGAATAGACTTTACTCATCCACGGACATTGTTGACTGTTGTTCTGGCACGTCATACAGCTGTATCGAGATGACATGGTTGATCTCTCCTTCAGTGCTAGGACTGTGTGGCTTTGCTCTTGAAGCCCACCACGTTGCAAGACCATCGCGTACGCGCCCGCCTGTTTTCGAGATCCGAATTACCCCTCGTGTATGTGCCGATCCTATGAGATGTAGAGACTTTCATAAAAGCAAGTGAACCCCCAGACCTTCCTTCTGTTGGCCTACATCCATCATGGGGCAAAGACGGAAACAGGTTCATCCTACGAAGGGAAAGAACCTAGACAAAGAGATGATGAATGATGTCTATGGCAGTATGGTCTCCCCCTCATCGCTACAGGGACTTGTGACCTCTGTATTTCACAAGACTCTTTCACCACCAGGATCGTCTCCCTCTTCAATGGTACCCATGAACATGCATCGTCAGCAGCAGCCATCACCACGTCCTTCAACATCATCAGCACCCTCGCCACCCCATGATCTTCAACGCTTTCAACCTCCGCAGCAGCAGCAGCAGCAGCAGCAGCAGAAGTCCACGCCAGGCCGGTCTTACTCCTCGATGGTACCCTTGAACAAGCATCGTCAGGAACAACAACGCCCTTCCTTATAAGCACCCTTGCCACCACTCGATCTTCAACGCTTTCAATGTCTGCAGCAGCAGAAGTCCCCATGAAAGAAGAAAAAAGACAAGAGAGCATCTATTTTTCCGACAAGGGATGCGACAACCCTTGCCGTCAAAGGAAGAAATCGGCTTTTGCAGTGGTTTGCAATTGTCATGTGGAACCTGAGAGCAGGACACATCCCATTGAAAGCTCAACATAAGACGTGGTTGCAGAGACATAATGATACCCTGACTAAAATTGTCCATCCTATGGATGAATGTCTTGGCTACCTGATGCAACGCAGTGGTAGTGGAACACTTGCAGGGGTCTTGACATGCATTCTGTTGCAATGGCAACATTATCTTCAAGCACCAATCCTCAAACACCAGGCGCCACCCACCTACAACAACAACAACAACGATGTCTACTAAGCCAAAAGTAAAGGCTCATGAAAATGTCATGAAAGCGTATCAAGCTGATGCTCTCAGACGATTGGCGCACATGCGGACCCAAAGAAAGTCCAAGAAGGCAGATCAACAGTTGCAACTCCCTCCTGCCACTGCCTGATAAAAGAGAGAAGCTGCAGATCAGGTGCCTCATTCAGGCGAACACCTCCATGCAGGAAAGATGTCTCGGTGCCTCAGGAAACAGAGACATGCTCTGTGTCATTTGTGTGCTGCCGCTTCAGCGATGCGTAAAGCCATACTCAAACATGCTCCTACCGATCTCATCCGTGCCCTTTGAGAATGTGTGGTGAACTTGTATGCAGGCAATATTCCCATGACCGTGACTCAACGTCAAAACTTGCAACGACATGGTAAAGTCTTGAATACGCTCATGAAAAAACAACATCTTCAACATGGAGGAGGATTATTAGGAGGACTCATTCCTCTCATTGGTTCTGCCCTAGCCTCTTTGTTTGGAGGAAAGCAATAAATGGTCTGACACCAGGAAGGTTGGGTTCAGTGTGTGGTGTGCCACCATGAAGTACGCAGGCAAGATGGTGTTGGTGCCTGAAGACACATGGCAAAGTCTACAGGCCACCAAACAACGTCATCGTCAGACACTTCACACCCCTCTCTTGGAAAAGAAACGTCTCCAAAATTTGGAAGAGATGGACGCGTTGATGCAGAGGTCACAGCAGCCTTTTCACATGTCAGAACAAGAATACAACCAACTGTTGCAAGGCATGCTAGAGTTGCAACGCCAACAGCGCAACAACAACAACAACACCATCAAACCACTACAACCCAAAGTGACACCACCACCACCGCCATACCAATCAATGATAGACACAACAGGTAGACCTGCTCCTCCTCAACAAGTGATAGACGAAGTGGTCATGAGTGTCCCTAAAGCCATGTCCAGTAAAGCCATGAACTTGATGACAAGAATTCAAAACAATCCTGACTTAAGTTGGACTCCAGAGGGAACCCTGACCGTGGAAGGGAAACCTGTCCTGCGGGGGCCTGCAGGTTGGACCATTTTGAGTCACCATTTGCCCAACAGTCATGTCCCTCATGAAATGATTGGAAATCCTCAACTATGGCAATGGATGCAGAAGCAGCAGCAGCAGCAGCAGCAACACCATCCTCATGCTACACCAAAAACACCCAATACCCAGTTCCCCCTCCCTAAGTTCTCCCCGCAAAATCACAAAGAGAGAAGAAGAAGGAGGTGGCGGCAGCTGGATCCACAAGCGGAAGAAGAAGAAGATGAGATGCCACCCCCACCTCCTTCGCAACAGCTGGATCCACAAGTGGAAGAAGAAAAAAGATGAGATGCCAAACCCATGGTTGATGACCCCAACTCCGTCTGATACCAAACAGGACAGATTCATCAACAGGCGAGGTTCATGGATACCCTTTAGCACCATCTAAGAAAAAAATTCTCTCCCCTCTCTATAAAAAGGCCATTCATGTACCGAATGGCATCAGTCTGAGAGAAATGAAGCGACAGACCAAGACGCGACAGCGCATTCTTCCCTCTGCTGCTGCAGGGAAACAAAACAAAGGATTTCCAATTCCCTTTGGACGTCATGGTTGGAAAAAACCTACTTTCATCCTGAACATCCTGCAAGTTTTGGAGGCTGGCGACCTTTGTGGAAAGCAGCACGCATCCACGCTCAAGATGCAAGAGCCAGTAAAAGCAAGAAGAAAACCATGCCATCGCAAGTCAAATCAAGCGTTGGTTGCAAACCCAAAGTACCTACACCTTGCACAAACCAGCCAGACATTCCTTTCCGAGAGACCACTATCATGTGGGAGGCGTTGATGAATTGTGGCAAGCAGACTTGAGTGACATGATTGCCTTTCAAGACGCAGCCAAGGATTCAAATATCTGCTGTGCGTGATCGATGTGTTTTCAAAGATGGCATGAGTGCAACCCCTGAAGGCCAAGAGCAGTTCTGCTTTGACCGAAGGTTTTCAAACCTTGCTGATGCAACAAGCCAAAGGCCGACTCCCTGCTCAATTGCAAACAGACAAAGGCAGAGAATTTGTCAACCGCCCTTTCCAGGCTCTCATGACGAAGCATGGCATTCATTTCTACACCAGTCAAAATCCTGAAACGAAAGCAGCCGTGGTGGACTGGTTTCAAAGGACTCTGAAAAATAAAATGTGGCGATACTTTACACAGCATGGGACCAGACACTATTTGAAAGTCTTACCCCAGTTGGTCAAGTCGTACAACCGTCGTGTGCATCGGACCATTGGTCAGCATCCTGTGGATGTCCTCCCAGGAGATCCCCTGTCAGAAATTCGGGTGTTAGACTACATGGAGGAACAACAACAACTGCAGCAGCGCAAAAAGAAAATAACAACACAACGACTGTCGTCCCCCAAGACAAGATCCCCCTCTCTTTTAATGCCGGGCACCCGTGTACGCCTGAACAAAACCAAAGGCAACTTTGAGAAAGGTTATCTCCCCAACTGGACCACTGAACTGTTTACGGTG